AAAATACAAAACTGAAAAGTAAATTTAACCAAATAAATGGTTTTTATGCCATGTTCTAAGGCATCATGCTAAATTTACCACATTCATCGAACTTCAATACACATTATGAAACCTTACTTTATTGTTAATTTTAACGCACTTCGGTAAAAATTACAGAACTTTTTAATGTTTTCAAAGAGCCAGAAACACGGTAAATTTTACCACATTACGTTAGTTTCGAACATACTTTCTTACTCCAGTAACAATTATTTCATTTAAATATTGACTTTAACAAACTGTATTTATGCTCGTTATCGAAAAGATTATTCATTACTCAAACAGTTAAAAAAGCACAGCTCAACTGCCTAGGTTTTTCTTTTGTAAATTTGTTTTTACATCTTGTTTTAAATTGGTCTTTAGTCTTTATTAAAAGCAATAATTTGCAAATTCTAATAATGATAAGTTTCAAATATAGACCAAAATAAAAAATTTTCTCACATTCAGCTTCAAAAACAGCTCGTTGTCAATAAAATGAAATACATTAATACCGCGAATTACATCTTAAAACTGAAAAATTTTAAACTTAACTATTAGCATAATAATACCATGTGAAATAAAAGGTGTCTGAAATTTCAAAAATATTTTGTTAAAATTAATTGGAAACTAATTTAAATCTTTAAATAAAAGTTAAAAACGTAACCGATTTTACTTCTAAGATTTTAATAACTAATTCTACATGAGGAAAATAGTTTAGATAAAATTATCGTACTGGTATGGTAACTACGCTTTTTTAAATAAATAAATGAATAAAAATTAAAATAAAAACCATAATTCTTTAAATAAAAACAAAACATAGAGTACTTAAACCCTTCATTTGGTAATTTTTATGTTTGTATGGTCATGATTTACTGGAAATCCTGGTTTTCTAAAATCATAATTCGTATCACCACACATTTAGTAAAAATTCAAAACTGAAAAGTAAAATTAACCGAATAAAAGGTTTTTATACAATGTATCATGGTAAAATTACCATATTTACAACCAAGCAGCATGATAATAAAACTATATTTCACAGCTAATCTGACTAAAAGCCATTATCAAAGCACTTTGGTAAAAATTACCGAGATATTTGGTGTTCCCATAGGACCAGAAATGGGGTAAATCTTATCACTTTCTGGTAATTTTGGTCAGATATTTTCTTAATCTAAGTCAATCTCTGCATATATATTCATGATTTTTAAAATTATAATAAGCACCAAAAGAGTTTTTTTACGAAACATATTGTACTCTATTTAAAACTCTACCCTGAATGCTTAATATCAAACGAATTTATGAAACATAATATAAGTTAACTATAAAACAAATTAAACTTTTCAAATTTGTAAAAATTGATATAAACTCATTTATACACCAAAAATAATATTGTTGAACATATGTAATTAAATAACAAAAACATACACTCCTCCCAGTTTTTTAAATATAGCCTTTTTAAATATATAGTTACTATTTTCGGTGCATAGCAGTTCATTGTTTAAAATTTGAACATGAACCAAATTTTATCATCCGCCTTTTTTCAGCATAGACTAAATTTTAGCATACTTCTTAATGTGTTCATTGTCTAAATTTTATTGCGTTTCTTATTCGAATATAATCGAAATTTAACACACTTCTTGTTGCATTCATTGTCTAAGATTGTAAGAAACATCTAATTTAAGCAGTGGTTCTTTTTTCGACATTGTGTAAATTTCAGCATCCTAATATTGGATAAAATTTAGCATAAATATAAAAAAAATGTGTATCGTAAAAAAAATCTTGATCAAATTACAGTAAAAAGTGCCGGCACTCAAGGTTCCGAAACTTTTTACAGTAAATTCAATTTTTACCGAAACATGGAACGAAACAAAAATCTAATATACTGCAATTTCTATACAGTAATATTTACCAAAATTCACTGAATCACTCTATCTATGTAAATATTATTGTAAAAATTAGGGAATAATATTTTACAGTAGAAATTGATTTTACATAGAAAGTACCGGCAACCTGAGTGCCGGTGCTTTTAATTACCGAAATTCGATCCGGAATTTTTTACAGTGTGAGATACTCTCTTTTTGAACAATCGAGATTAATGTAATTTAATAACGTAGCTAAGTTTATTTTTTCGGCGGAATACGTTTGTAATAAAAAGTTTAGTTCATTCTTATTAATTTAAGCTATTGAAAGTGAAAGAAAACATTATAGAGTTTTTTGTTGCAGATGAATCCTCTCTTGTATAGAAAATAACAGCCTTCTTCTACTTTCTTAATAACCCTCAAAACATTCTCATTTCTTGGTTCTGAAGGATTGTCATATTCACCGAGAGAGGGAGAGCCAGAGACGGGACAGAAATAAGTCAGTGGTCAGAACTTGGGAGGTAAACCCTTCTGTTCGTGGGTGGTTTTAGCATGTTTTGGATTTGTTCTGCACTCGGGGTGTTCTAATAGAGCGGCATAGCTGAAGGGTAATTTAATAAGTCTCATATGATTTCAAACCATCACTTATCATGTGAATGTCTCGCTTGCCGAATCGATTAAATCCATTAAATGAATCTTAAGTGATTACCAGAAAAATCAAATAATTAATGGAAAATCGTGTACTGATGATTTTCAAATATCTAGTAAAGTTAAAGCGCAGTCAATCCTTATGCACTTCAAATTACAAGAAAGATTAAAATGTAAAAATTTCATTAAATAAAAACACTTAATGTTCAATGCAACTAAGTATTACACAGTCAATATTATTAAAATATAGAACTAATGTAAAAATATAAAAAAATGTTAAAAACTGAGATTTTATTATTTAATTAATATCAAGCAATTACAGACTGAATATTAAAAATTAAAAAAAAAAAAACTAATTCCGCATGTCAAAAATACAATATAGTGCCTTGACTAGCATTGTTGCATTTCGATAAGACTAAAGTTTATAAGATCTCACGAAATGAAAAATAAATGAAAAGGAACGGTAAGTTGAAAGAAACAAATTCAAAGTATGTAAACTATTTTACAAATAATTAAATAAAACAAATGATTTATGAACAAATTCAAATAGTGTCAAATATTTCGTTATGTTACTAGTACAATTTTTAATAATACTTTACTTCACACAGATAAATAAATTCTGGTACAGTTACCATACTGTATCGGTAATGACCTTTTGCCTGGTAACTTTTACATTCATTGCTAATGCTTTTCATTGCTTTTACATTAATTATAGTTCGTATTACCACTCATTTAATAAAAATTTAAAACTAAAAATTAAATTTAACCGAATAAATAGTTCTTGTACCATGATTTAAAGTAACATGATAAAACTACCAAATTTAATCACATATTATAAAACCATATTTTATTGTTAATTTTGCCAAAATCATTACCAAAGAGCTTCATTAAAAAATTACCGAGCTCTTTGGTAACAGGTAGATTTTGGTACCATATTCTGGTAGTTTTAACCATTTTTTTTTAGTGAACACAGATAGACAAATCATGTAAAATAGTTAACCCTTTCTTCAAAATATCTTTATCTAGAATACTTTAGATGTGTCTAATTATAATATGAAATAAAATGTTACGAATTAAGAGTTTATTCCCACTTCCGTGACGGAATGGCAAAAAAAGCTAGGACCCTTTATACAAGAATAACAATCAATATTTTAATTAAAATATAAAAATTTGCTATTATGTTCTTTGTAAGGCTATTAAGAAAGTTTGGAATGTGTTAAGCAATATTATCGTTCAAATTTGGGGTAATTTTGAATCCTATTATGGTACTTCTCAAACTTGATGACACAATACTGTGGTTTATCACCTTATTAAATGTGCAGCAAATTTACACAGCATAACGTTCTAAGCAGGTATCAAAATTACGACCCAATACTAAATCGATTATTCTAAAGGCATTACAAATAACAACAATAGCAAAATGTTGAAAAAAAAANAAAAAACAAGTTTGAGAAAAGAGAAACACATTAACAAGATTTTTTTGTTGAGAACATAACAGCCCCACAGTATAATTAATGTAAAAACACGCTAGAAATAATTAACACCCTTGTTGCATTTCAAAAATGTAAAAAGCATCAGAAATTNTTTTTTTTGTTTTTATTTTTTTTTTTTTTTTTTTTAAAGAATGGTTTTCTTCATTCTATAAAAACTACAGTATTTATTTGATTTGCTTTTTATTTATAATTTAAAAGTGTCAAAAAATCTTTAAATTGTCTTCAAAAACGTTAAAATAACATCCAAAACAATAATGTTTACAAAATTATATAACAAACGATTCCGTAACAATCATAAATTACAACTTACGCATACTATTAAATATTTCTTAAATATAAATTGAATGTTTTGCATTTTTAAATATTATTTTTTACTGATTATGATGTTTCATAACAATAGCAACATTTCTTTATTTTTTACAAAGTAACAACTATGTAAATGTAACACATAAAACATTTATGAAAATTACTTCTTGTCTCGATAAATTCATTATCTATATAAAATAAAATGTTAAAAGCTTTTTTTTTTAATTGTATAGTTCCTAAAAGATTCTATAATTCTTTAACTCTCCTTAAATTTGGTGGAACACAAATTTTTACGTTTAAATTACCAGTATTACATTGGTCTTAATATTATTACATTGGTCTTCTAAATATTACATCTGTCTTAATATTTGAAAAAAACTGCAGATTAGGTAAAAACAATTTAAATTTGGAAAAGCTTTCAAATTTTAAAGTAAAAAAAAAAAAAAACTATCGAAATTAGTACAATCACTNTAAAAAAAAAAAAAAAAAAAGAGGTAAAAGAAAGACAGAAAAGAGCTTTATGAGCATACTAATTTTTCTTTTTCTGCGATCAATAATTTTGTCATAAAAATAAATAAAAATTGCTGGCTTCAAAATATTACATTTAAAGAAAACTGAAAATAAATTTGATTAAAGAAAATACAATTTTAAGAGTTATTAACATTAAAAAAAAAGTCATTACCTTGAAAAGGACTAGATCGTCTTTTAGGAGCAACAGCAATATCTTTTGCCATTATTGCAGCTATTGAAAAGTCAGTAGCCCTTTGACAGGGTTGAGGCTTGGTCACAGCTTGGGGAGACCGAGACGATTCCTCGGTCCCTATCACTTCTTCGGAGATCAACATTTTGATTTAAAGTTCTTCCACTTTGTTGAAAATGTTCCACTTATTTGTTTAAAGAATAATTCTACTCTTCAGAAAAGAATTATATAAAAGTCAGAATCATGCTGGTAATTCTCTAATTTCGAAAATGACTCCCGGAACTGGCGCTTAAAAGTTCTTTTTTAAGACATAATACAACTTAAATTAATAAAACGCACACTAGAAGCATCTCTGCTAATATGAACAATTGCTTTCTTTTCAGAATTCAGTTTCTGGAAGCATCAGTAAGCGATTTCGGTTAAACCGATATTCGTCCGCTGGGGTTGCCGCTTGAATTTCGAGTCGGTTCCGTCGATCAAACTTCAGATTTCGTGATTGAAATTCACGGACATAATCATTCTAAAACCCCATCAATCAAGGTGAGGTAATTAGTTTTAATAATGGCGATGATTTTTGATGAGCAAAATTATCGTTTGGTCAAAAATTAATCGCGAATAATTAGAGGTAACGCTATAACGATCCAAACAAACCACTCGTTTGGTTCTTTCTGCTTTATGACTAAGGCTATTCAAGCCACTAACAGCTTTACTCTCACAGTCGTGCAGAGGGCGCTGTTGTACGAGGAGGAAAATCACCTACATGGGTGGCAGTAGGCGGGACTTGTAGGAGAACTCATCAGCTATTGGTAGGCGTGGCACTAATCAGCAACAGCTGTTTCTCAGCGAATGAGAGTAAGCGCACTTAAGGGACATCACCTATTATTGGTCAAAAGACGTTGAATGAGCTGTCGTCGCGTGACTCTGAGGTGTAGAATTAAGCACTTAACAATCTTATTTTCTACCACTTGAAGAAAAATTGCAAACAATTAGAAAAAGTTTTTTCTTTGCTGAGATTTAAATCGATCTGGAATGAGTTCGATTGCGTGTATTGGAATAGTTATTCTTAATTTATTAGAAAATAAAATTGATAGTTGTTTTTTTTAATGACTATTTTAATACGAAAATAAGTATAATATTTATTAAATTTTTTTTAAAGCTCATTGTAATATGTTTACGGATTCTCTTTGAAATAAACTATGAATTAAACAGACAAGAATATTTTACTATATTGGGGATATTGAAAAGATTAATTAAAAGAAAATCTCTAATATTTTTACGCTAAATATTTTCAATGATATAAATAAGTATTATCTTCACAGAAAAATAAAAACAAATTAAAAAACTTATTGCAGAATCTTGCAAATTTATCGTTTTTATAACTGATGTAAAATGGTGAAAACCTTTTATTACATTGTAATTTACTTAAAATAATAATAATATCAATCACTAATATTTTTTCTGTATAACTATTTTGTATGCATAAATAAATGTAATCTTTATAAAAGTTTAGAGTTCATCGTAGTATTTTGTGGCTTAGTTTTGTAATGAATTATGCAATGCACTGAAGTATTGTATTATATTGTGAATTTTAGGAATATTTGCATTTTACAAGTAATTTAAAAAATAAAAAATGTTTGCTTTTTTCACTGCTATTTTAAACACATAAATAAGTATAATAATCTTTATAAAAATTTTATAAGTTCATTAAATAAAATTTTTTGGACTATCTTTTCAGAAGACTACCTACATGATAAGTATTCGAGAAAAAATATACCTTGTAGTAATAAACATTCTATGCTTGTAATACGTATACTTACTAGTTAACGGCATTCCATAAAATTAGATATGAATGATGAGAATATTTTACTGTATAAGTTTATTAAAAATAATAAACATCATTTTCAGCTTTTTCACTGATTGTTTAGAATACATAATACCGTCTTCATTTAAAAAATTTTTAAGGAAAAGCTCTATTTATTTTATTTATTTATTTGGATTATTTTTGCAATGAACTATGCAACACATAAGAATACTTTATAAAACTATAATTTTGATAGATCGGATTCACTAGTTTTTAAAAGATATCTATTGCAAAATGTGAAATACAATATTTCATGCAATCAATATTATATTCCAGGCAGATAAGTATTATGTCATAACAAAAAATACGTTATGCTTATAGTATATATTTTTGGGGGAATTTAATTTATTTATTATATTATTATTGTTATTTTTGCTCTGTACATAAGGATTTTGGAATTTCTCAACTACAACTGTGTTATACAATTTTTCCTAGGGCTTTTATACTTTAGTTTTTTTGTATAAAAGAATTCTGTATCTGTCAAAAAGTGTTTTAGAGCTTTTTGACAACAATTATATAAAACTTATAACAACTTTTCTTAGTTCTTTTATTTATTATTATAATTATTTTTACGGATGAATTTTGTACTTGAGCACGGAGAAAAAGAATTCTGCTAAAATTTCCGTACTTTTATTGTAATGGCATTTCTGGTAAAATAATAAATAAATAAAATAAAATTAACATACTTGTGGTTAATAAAACCAAATTATACGATATTTAAACCATTCATTTGATAATTTTTCCGTTCATATGATAACGGTTTAAAGGAAATTCTGGTCATGATGATTATAGTTTTTACAACCATACATTTTATAAAAAATACAAAACAGAAAAGTAATTTTTTCTGAATAAATGGCTTCTATGCCATGATCTAAGGTATCATGATAAAATTGAAAAATTTTACCACATTTACTAAAAGAAGCACTGTAATAAAACCATATTTTATTGTTAATTTTTTCATAAGTCATTACCAAAACGCATCAGTAAAATTTACAGAGCTTTTTGGTGTTCACATACAGATAGAAACAATGTAAATTTTACCCTGTTTTGATCATCCTATTTTTTCCTTCAAGAATATATTCTTCTTCTTTCAAGAATATATCTTTCAAGAATAATAATAGGCAATTCAAGAATATATTTAATGAGTTTTTGAATTTTTTTCTCCTTTAACTGTTATTAAATCACTTATAAATAATTTTTATGCTTAAATAAAAAATTAAATAAACTACTTTTGAATTTTTGCAGATTCTTAAGATACAATTGAAAAAAAAACGAAAATAAACTTCTTCTTTTTTTGTTTTCTCCAATTTTAGAAAAAGTTAAAAGAAATTAGCAATAAATACTTCATTGTAAGAGAGAGCTAAGATCTTAGTAAATAATTAGTTTTGCATTTGCATGCGTTTTTCAAAGTCACCTAGTCCTAAAAAATTAAACTTAATTTTTTTTTAAAGTACGAAGTGGGAAAAAAGAATTTTTCTATCAAACCGACCAGAATACTGCAATGCAAGAGAGAAATCAACGTATCTTCCTATCGAGAAAAAAAAATTGCGACATTTTTTTAAAATTAGTTTTTTGAAATTATACTCCAGCGTTGATTAGCAGGGAAATGAAATCGTTGTCGAGCCGCTGTTTTCGAAATCTTTCGGAAAGCAGTAAAAATCCCCCCCCCCTTTTTTTGTCTTCTTCCCATTGGCGAAATGGGTCTTGTTTTGAGTTTGATGGCATGCGCACTTTTTTGGACGTCATCACACTTTTCAACTACAATAATCAAGAGTAATAGTAAACAGTGGGCATGAGTTGTCATTGCATGCGTTGCTATGGCAACCGCTGCAGTTTGATTATTTTTTTAGAGTTCTTTTCTTCCCTTTTAATTTTGTTATGCATTAAGTTGGTGAGTTTATTTTTGAGATTTGGGACCAGAGAGATCCCATAAATATTTCTTGAATTGTGAATAAAAGAGAATTTCGTCATTCGAACGATATTTTTTGTTTTCATTGTTTTAATTAAGAATCAGAAATTCTATCCTACAGTTCAAACTGGATCGTTTTCAAAACTAATTCAGATGAATATTACAAATAAAGAGGGTCCCAAACTGATTGATACGGTTCAAAAGGTTAAAGTAAAAGCAGGAGAAAAAAAAGNAAAAAAAAAAAAAAAAAAAAAAAAAAAAAAAAAACGATGCCAAGGCTTAAGCTTACCGAGGCTGAAAATGCTAAAGCGAATGAACATAGACGGGAAAAAATTAGACAACAACCATTTTGCCAATGGTTAACCAGTGATCGCCTCTTGGAGATCATAATTTTTTTTAATTTCAGTTTTGAATTGATTCATTCCAAAGTTAATTCAGTTTCAGTAATGTGCATGAGTATGGCTTTATTTATTTATGTGTGCAAAAAAAATTTCGATTAATTTAAAAAGTTCTCAAAATATGGTGAAATACCCTAAATAATTAAATGAACACAAAGGGGTCCAAACTTTCAACCGCTCTCCTAACTAAACTATTGGCACCATATTCTCCTGACTGAATTTACCCGCCCCCACCTATTTTGATAGTTGAAAATCCAAATCCATCAAGGAAAAAAAGGTTATGTTTTTTAGACGAAATATGTTTTTGTGTCTGATTTTGTAATTTTATTAATAGATATCACTAATTAGCACATTTGAGGTTGTTTCTTTAAACCATTATGATCGCAACATCTGATCAGTAGAACGCAAGTTATTCAGAGTGATATCTTTTTTTATTTGATCACTGTACATCGAAATTTTAATATATTTTTCCTTGTCTGCTTCTCTTTGAAATCAGCATTATATCTATACGTATTTTGCTCATAGATAGTTTTAAAGATTACATTCTAATAACTTGTCTGGAGACGATTTTAAAAAATGAAATAACTCTACTGAAACTCACTGTCTTTATATGAGAGCGATCATTTCCCTTCATTGAACCAATTTCACTTACTTTTATATTAAACTAATTAATTATATTTTATTTTTATCTCTTATATTAAACATTTTATGATTATAATTTCTATATTTAGTTACGTGGAGTGCGGAAAATAATAATTATCTAAACACGTACTAAACTATAACAACGCTGAATTTGAAGCTAAAATTAATTGTCAGCGTAGCTCACGTTTAGCAGGAAACCCCCCCCCCCAAATTTGAGCAATCGCTTAATCTCCGTGCTTCAAAGACTACGAACGCATCAGTTTAAAAATTTTGATTGAAAATTTAAAAAAAAAATTAATAAGCAATAATACCACTTACCTTCTGTCTACATTTTTTTTAAAATTTTATTTTATATCCATCGTCGAACAGCCGATACAGCTAATGGGTTTACGACTACTAATGTTCAACTCCGTAGCCTTGAAATTTTGAACCAATCCAGAAGACAATGAAACTCCTGGATCAGTACCCCCAGAGGTATTGATTTGCTATGGGAACATGGAGGACTTTGAGACTCGACAGATTTAGCGTGCATCAGTCACCATTTACTACACGGGGAGTCTTCGGCCGGCGGGGTTTGAACCCACGAACTCTTGGACATTGGCCCAGTGCCCTACCAACCAGGCTATCTCGGCCTTCTGTCGATATTGCGTGTACCATACATATTACACTACATGTACTGTAGTACAAATGTGTTCTGTCTACATTGCACTACAAGTTCACTGAGTGCTCTTGTAGCACAATGGTCCCCAACCCCAGGCCGGCACCGTGGATCAAACGGTACCGGGCCACCCAAAGAACATTGAATTTTATTTCCATTTTATTTACTGTGGTACATGTCTCTCGGATTTTTTGGACACTAAATGCACGAGCGATTAAGTGGGAGCTGAAAAGAATCACCTAATACCAAACATGTAATTGTA